GCCTCTTTCGAAAGAAGCCTGCAGTCTAGACATAGCCTTAGTGACCCAAGGCAATTCAAAAACGGGAGGGGGAGGTGTGGGGGGGCAGTGTCCTAAGTAGCTAATTTTGCGCCCGAGGCAAGAATATAAAATTATGCCCCTTCCTGTTTATATATTCATAGTAGTTATTTCATATAAAAATTGAAAATACATTAATAATAAAATAATAACACTATATTTATTTGAGTTGTGGTGGGGGAAAAGACACTCATCCCCAAACCGCTCTCCCCCCCGCCTCCCCGGCTTAAACCCCACACTCAGGGGCTGAACGGGTTGGGAGTCTTACAGTCAGAAGTCTGAGAGGCATACTCACCCCGGGGCCTGAGAGTCACACTCAGGGGCTGGGAGTCAGGACCTGGGGGGCACACTGGGGCTGGGGAGGGCTGTGAATCACACTCGAGAGTCAGACTCGGGCTGGAGGGGCTGGGATTCAGGGCCTGGGGGATGCACTCTGGGGCTGGGAGACTCACAAGTGTTACAAAAATATTAGAAACATTATTCAAAAAAACAAGTAAAATTTAGTATTTTACCAAACAGTTTCACCTGAACTTAAATTAATGGGATATCACAAAGTTTACTAAAATAGCCCCTCTCCTACCCCAGAGCCAGGCACCCTCCAGCCCTCCCGCTGCAACCCAATCCTCTCCCTCCCCTCTTCCCCCCCTCCGCATAATCCCAGCCTTTCCCCGGCCCCTAGGCTCCCAAACACAGTCCCAACTTCTACCCCAGCACAGTCCCTACTCTGAGTCACTGAAATGGTATTCAATTCAATCCATTGGTTTAACTGCCTGAAGATTGTTAAACCAATTAAGTTGAAACAAAAAACAGGACTATGTATCACTTTAAAGACTAACAAGATGGTTTATGAGGTGATGAGCTTTCGTGGGTCAGACCCACTTCCTCAGATCAAGAAAATTGTCACAACCATATATACCAAAGAATATAATTAAAAAAATGAACACATATGAAAAGGACAAATCAAATTTCAGAACAGAAGGGGGATGGGGGAGGGGAGGTAAATGTCTATGAGCTAATGATATTAAAGGTGGTAATTGGAGAAGCTATCTTTGTAATGGGTAAGATAATTAGAGTCTTTATTCAAACTAAGTTTATTGTTTATTCTTATTCTTAAGTTAAACTTTATTCAACCATATGAAAAAACTTGCACAGATTCAGACACATCACCTAATAAACCATCTTGTTAGTCTTTAAAGTGCTACATAGTCCTGTTTTTTGTTTCAGCTACACCAGACTAACAGGGCTACATTTCTCTCACAATTAAGTTGAGTACCACTTCAGGTGAATGGCTCCTTAAGACTAAGCCAGCTGCAGAGCTTCCCGGCAGGGGACCTTTTCAAATGTGTAAATGCACCTGGGGAGACAGTTGGCAACCCTTTTGAAATGTAATGGCGATCCATAGGTTGGGAAACCCTGCTCTAGACCCTAACCCTGTTCTCCAATTAGTGCTTTATGAGTTTGTGGTACATTATATAGTGATAGAGATGTAGCCGTGTTAGTCTGGTGTAGCTGAAACAAAATACAGGACTATGTAGCACTTTAAAGACTAACAAGATGGTTTATTAGATGATGAGCTTTCGTGGGCCAGACCCACTTCCTCAGATCAAAAATCAGTTTTTGATCTGAGGAACCATATATACCAAAGGATACAATTAAAAAAAA